CGTTGGAGAGGGCGCTGAGCAACAGCGCGGCCAGGCTGGTCAGGAAGCGGCTGGGTTTCGATTCAGAAAGACGTGTCGCAGACGCCGTTTTTCAATATGTACTGCCGCAGGCCGGGATAGCGGAACGGCTTCGCTCCGCTAGCACTGTGGTATGGATCGGCGCGCAGCGCCGGGGATGCTTTTGCTGTGAGCGCGGCTCGAACAACTGGCGTAGCACTGAAGCCAAGGGCCCTGGGAAATAAAAATGGCAGCGGCGAGCAAGGAATGAAACCGCAGGCCCCTCGAGGCTTCTGGGGAAGCCCTCTCGGGCCTCTTACATTCCTGGGGAGCGAGCTTGATTCACGCACGGGACACCACGGGACACTTCGGGGCACCACATCGATCTCAGTACCGATCTCACTATCTATCTCACTATCGATCGCACTATCGATCTCGCTATCGATCTCACTCAACGGGACACCACGGGACACCGCGGGACACCGCGAGGGCTACCGCCGGACGGACGGGGGATAATCATTTCTCTTGACTTTGCCCTAGCAGCGGCGGACACCACGGGGCACCACGGGACACCGCGGGACACCGATCGGGCGACCGCCGGACGGACGGACGGGGGATAATCATTTGTCTTGACTTCGCCCTCGCAAAGGCGGGTTCATTCCTCTCGCGCGCCCACGCAGCTTCGCCTCGCCCGCACGCACGACACGAACGAAACGAAACTATTTCCAAATTGGGGGTCTCCGTTTCACTGCGATCTCACCCACCAACCTCCGACATACATACATACCTATACGAACACCCTCCGGGTGATAAGGAAGTTCGGGGGGCGGAGGAACCAACGTCTCACTCGATCGGCATCAGTATCGATCTCACTATCGATCTCACTATCGGTCTCGCTCGATCGATCTCATTCGATCGATCTCACAATCGATATCATTCGGTCTATTTCATCTTATCGATCTCCCAATCGATCTGACTACCGATCTCACAATCGATCTCACTCTCGACCTCACTCTCGATCTCACAATCTATATCACATCCGGTCTCACTCCCGATAGCACTATCGATATCACAATAGATCTCACAATCAACGTCATCATCATCATCACGAACATCATCGTCACCAACGTCATCAAAATCATCATCAAGATCATCAGCATCATCATCATCATCATCATCGGGGCACCATCATCATCATATCATCACCATCACCATCAACAGCATCATCACCATCACCCCAACCATCATCATCGGGACACCATCATCGTCACCATTATCACCATCAACATCACCATCATCGGGGCACCATCATTATCATCATCATCATCATCGGAACACCACCATCACCATCATTTTCATCCAACCGTCATCATCACGAACAACATCATCAACATCATCACCATCGAGACATCATCATCAGCCACATTATCATCATCAACATGATCATCATCGGGACACCATCATTATCGTCACCATCATCATCATCACCGTCATCATCATCGGGACACCATCATCATCATCGACATTAGCATCATCATCGGGCCGCAATCATCTAAATCATCAACATCACCACATCATCGTACTCGTCATCAACATCATCATCATCGGGACACCATCATCGAACACGAAACCGAAATCGATTTCCCGGTAGGGGGGCTCTCCGTTCCACTTCGATCTCACCCCCCCACCTCCGACATACATACATACATACATACATGCATGCATGCATGCATACAGACAGACAGACAGACAGACAGACAGACAGACAGACAGACAGATAGACAGACAGACAGAGAGACATGCATGCATGCATGCATGCATGCATCCATCCATCCATACATACATATATACAGACATTCAATCATACATGCATCTAGGAATATATATATATACACATACCTATACGACCACCCTTCGGGTGCGGGGCGGGGGGGAGAGGGGGGGAGGAACCAACATCTGACTCCACGGGACACCACGGGACACCACGAGACACCACGGGACACCACAGAACACTTGTCGACCTACCTATCGATCTCACTGTCAATCTCACTCAACGGGACACCACGGGACACCACGGGCCACCACGGGACACAACGGGACACCGCGGGACACCTCTCGATCTCACGATCGGTCTCACTATCGATCTCACCATCGATCACTCAACTGGATACCGTAGGACGCCACGGGACACCACCGGACACCACGGGACACCACATCGATCTCACGATCGATCTCACTCAGCGGGACACCACAGGACACCACAGGACACCTGTCGATATCACCATCGATCTCACTATCCACCTCACTTTTTGGGACACCGGGGGACACCACGGGACACCACGGGACACCACGGGACACCGCGGGACACCGCGAGCCACTGCCAGACGGACGGACGGACGGGCGGGCGGGCGGGGGAGAATAATTTGTCTTGACTTCGCCCTAGCAACGGCGGACACCACGGGACACCACGGGACACCGATGGACACCGCGGGCTACCGGCCGCCGGAGGAGAAACATTTGGTCCCGCCGCGGCCCAGCCACAGGAGGATTTCGGGACACCAGCGGGACACCCGCGGGACACCGCGGGCCACGGGCCGCCAGAGGAGAAACATTTGGTCTGGCCGCGGCCCAGCCACAGGAGGATTTCCTCTCGCCCGACCACGCAGCTTCGCCTCGCCCGCACGCACGCACGGCACGCACGACACGAACCCGAACCCGAAATCGATTCCTGGGTAGGGGGGGTCTCCGTTTCACGTCGGGCTCACCCCCCAACCTCCGATGTACATACATACATGCATACATACATACAAATATGCAAACATACGTACGCACATACATACATACGTACGTATATGAAGCCGTGCAGACATACATGCATACAAACATACAAACCCATAGCTACAAACATACCTATGGATATACGTACATACATACATACATACATACATACATACATACATGCGTGCATATATGCATGCATACATACATATAAAAATACACACATACATACATACATACATACATACATACATGCATGCATACATACATACGTACGTACGTACATACATACATACATGCATACATACATACACACACATACCTGCATACATACACACATACATACATACACATAGACATATGTGCATACATACATACATACATACATACATGCATACATACATACATACATACATGCATACATACATCAATACATACATACATACATACCTGCCTGTCGATCTACATGCATACATGCATACGTCCATACGTAGATACATACATATGTGTATACACACAAACATACATACACACAAACATACATACATACATGCATGCATACATACATACATGCATACATATCTACATACGTGCATACATGCATGCACACACATACAATACACACATATATATATATATACATGCATATATACATACATACATGCATACGTACGTACGTACATACATACGTACATACATACGTATATACATACATCCATACATCCATACATGCATACACACATACATACACGCATACATAGATGCATACATACATACATGCATGCATACATACATACATACAGACATGCATACATCAATCCATACATACATACCTACCTGTCTATCTACATGCATACATGCATGCATGCATGCATGCCAACATACATACATACATACATGCATACATACATACATACACATACATACATACATACATACGTACATACATACGCGCATACGTGCATACATACATACATACATACATGCATACATACATACATACATACATACATGCATGCATGCATACATACATACATACACAGACAGACTGACTGACTGACTGACACACAGACAGACAGACAGACAGACAGACAGACAGACAGACAGAAAAACAGACAGACAGACAGACGAACAGACAGACATGTACATATATACAACTACATGTAAATGTATACACAGACATGCTAACACATATGCACGTCACCATCCCACCCCCGCTTGCCGGGGGTGAAGAGTCGTGTGAGAGATCTGGCTGTCACTCCTTCCCCTCTCCCCCCTTCCTCTGGGCTCAAAGGCCCCGCTCGTGGGGGTGGGGGGGGGCCGGCTGAGGGGAGCCCTGGGGTAGGGGGGGGCCCGAGGGGCGGGCCGGCTGCCCCGCGCACCCCCGGGATCTCCACAGCCTCTCAAAGTCGTCTCTCCGTGGGCGTCGAGATGCCCTTGATGCTTGCAAGATGGTTCCAGGGTGGCTGCAACACGCCCGAGAGGCCTCAGGAACGCCCAAGGCAACTTCAAGACCGCAAGACAGCCCACGAAAGCGAAAGAGGGCCCCAAGAGGACCCCCTCTAGGAGGCAAAAACCATTGATCTCTTCCACCGGTCTTTGACTGGACTTCACGGTCTCTCCAGCGCAAGCGTCTGCAGGCCCAAAACGGTGCGAGGCCCCCCAGAATGCCCCAAGACTGTCCAAGATGTCCCCAAGAAGGCCCGGAGACGGCCCAAGAGGGCCCCAAGACGGCCTAAGAGGCCCCCAAGACGTCAAAAGAGCCTTCAAGAGGGATCCAAGAGGGGCCCGAGAGAGGAACGATAGGGGGAACACGCAGGCACCCTGGGAGCCCCCTCCAAAAGGTGGCCCCCAAGACCCCCAGCATGCCCCCGAGATGCCCCCAAGAGGCCCGCGAGAAGCCCCCAAGAAGCCTCCCCAAAGCACTCTGGAGCCTTACAAAACTTCAACAGGCCCGAGGCATCCAACAGGGCCCCAAGCAGCCCCGCAACACACGCAGAGAAAGAGGAGGATGAATCGCGCAGGCAACGCGACTGGAAGTGTCAAACCACACGCACGAGATCGGAAGCCGCACACATCCTCTTCTGGGGGTCGGCAGAATGGCGCAAGCTTCCTGAACAAAAACGCGACTCCCCCCCCGCCTCTCCCTGGGCGCGTTCTGACCAGGCTTCCGGAGCGGATCCAGCCGTGGAGGCGACACCGGCACGTCTTCCTCGTCCGCGTACCCTCCCGCAGCTGCGAGCTGGCGGCCGCGCCCTCGTGCTGCCACGCGACGATCGGCGACGCCTTCGGGGACTCGGGGCCAGCGACCACACCGCCGACGGCCTGCTTGGAGGCAAATGGAGGGACTGAAAACGAGGTCCATAACCGAGACTGAACGCGAAAACGTCGGTGTCGATGATGGTCACCACGCATCCTGATCACCGTCGATTCGTGGATCGCGCTGGTAAAACCCCGCGACACCGCGACATCTTAAGATCAAGGTCAGCGCGCTTCTCCTTTCGAGGAGAGGGGGCTGCCGAGGGAAACGGGCCATGGCCTAGGGCGACGAAATCTGTACGTATCCGCTGCTCCCTGGCCAGGCCCATCCTGAACCTAGCAGCAGTATTTTCGCCACGCCCTCCTTGCTTGGCCAGGCGGGTGCATGCACAGCTCCTGCGCCCAGGAAGGGCCCAGCCAGGGGGCAGTGGACATGAACAATGAAAACGTAAACAAAGAGACCCGTTGTCAAGCTCGAACCGGCAGAGCCCCTTCATCTTGTAAGACATGGTCGAGACCCTGGACCACAGGGCTTGTCCGACCAGTCATAACTGGGGGAGCTGTGGTCCTTACCCCCCTGGGGGAGCCCATCGCATCGACGATCTCTCGAGGGGGGTGCCGAAATCGATGGGCCCCCCAGGGGGGTAAGGACCACAGCTCCCCCAGTTGTGGGCTGCCTGCTTGTGCCCATCAGAGAGAGAGGAGGGAGGGGGGGAGGGAGGGAGGGAGGGAGGAGGGGGAGGGAGGGAGGAGGGAGGAGGGAGGGAGGGAGGGGGAGGGAGGGAGGGAGGGAGGGAGGGAGGAGGGAGGATGAGGAGGAGGAGGAGGAGGAGGAGGAGGGAACCCTCCGGGGTCTGAGACCTCCCGGCCCCTGCCCCCACGAACGCCCCCACCGTAGCTTCTCGGGAGCGGCCAAGCGGGGGGTGTCCAAGAGGGGGGGGTGCAACTCATGACTGGCGGCACGTGCGCGGCCCAAGGAGGGGGCCAGGGACGTAATGAAACAAGAAGAGGCGCCATGAAATCTGGGGAAATATCATGGCCCGCGCCATGATATCCCCCCCCCCCTGGTCATCACCCCCCTCTCTGCCGCCTCCGAGATGTGTGGGTCGCACCCTTGCTTTTGACTCCGGCCGGGAGCGGCCTCCGGTGACTCTTGGCCAGTCTCTCCCTCGCCCTCTCTGCCAGGGCTGGACCTGAACGGTGTTTTGGCGATCTCGTGGGCCGTTGTCGTTTCGACGTCGCTTTTCGGTGGCGGCGGAGTGAAGACAACGCGAGGGGAAACGAAAAGAAAGCGACAACGAAAAAACACCGTTTCGGTTCAGCCCTGCTCTCCGCTGCTTTCCTTGGCCTTCGGCCGAGGGAGTCCAGACCCGAGGCAGCCTGCCCCCGATCCGCCTGCCACGAGAGGCGCATCGGCGCCCGGGATCCCACCGACCGGGCAGGGCACCCCCGAAGCACGAGGCCAGTGCCGCGCGAGCTGGGGCCGGAGCGCGCCGATCCTGCACGGAGGCACGGGGCCCGTCGCCGATCCACGCGCCGGAGGCCATGCCGGAGGCCGAAGGACGCAGCAGGGACGGGCACAGGAGTCAGTGACCCCCCGCCCCCGGGGCCAGACGAAGCCAGGCCGCGGATCAAATCGGGCGAGGGCGAGTCGAGAGTCTCTGAGATCCGGCGGTTCTGGAGGATGTCTCGGGCGCCGCGGCCCTCTCAGAGCGTTCTGGAACGCTCTGAGAGCGTTCCAGAACGCTCTGGAAAGGACTGAACTTCGTCCCAGCTTGGCGTCGCGCACCAGGGGGCATAGGGAGGGGGAGAAGGCTTCTTGGAAGGAGGCTGCTTCTTCGAAGGAGCCAGCTCTACATCTACAGACATGGCCCGCGCCTTCGAAGAAGTCCCGATGCTTCCAAGAAGCCTTCCCCCGTACCCTACGCCCCTGTGCGCGTGGCCGACTAGCCCCGTCCGCCCTACAGCCGAAATCCATAGTAAGGACGGGCGCTGGGGACGCAAAGCAAGGGCCTCGGACGCCGAACGTGACGCTTTTTGAGCGGCGGACTGCCAACACCCTGAAGGGCTGGCAAGTGAAAACCGCGAGGGTCGAGCCGCAGAGGCGAGGACACAAGGATCCCCCAAGGACATCCGTGCGTCCGTACTATATGAGCTTTGACTGTAGATCCCCCCCGTCCACGGAGCGTCCTGTCGGTTCGGCGGCTTCGGCGGCTGCGCGGCCGAGGTGAGCTCGGTCACGGAGTCCGTGGGGAAGAACGCCTGGCCGCTCCCCGCCGCCTGTGAGGGGGAACGCCAGGAGGGGGTGGGGACCCTGTGCAGTCGCTGGGTAAGACCTCCTGCATATCAGCCCATGGAAGGAGGCCGCACTGGCGGCTCCTTAGAGGCCGCCGGGAAGGGCTCTCAGAGGCCGCTGCGGGCTTCTCGCAGATGGGGCCATTTGCGGGAGGCCCGCAGAGGCTGCAGAGGCAAAACGTTGTTGATAGATCGGCGACGGGCCCCCGATAGCGAAGCCACGCGAACCCAGGCAGGGTGGGCCATCGGCCCTCCTCGGCGACCTGTGGGCGAGTGGGGGCCGATCCCAGACATCCGCCACCGTGCCGCTGGGCACGGAAGGGGCGTGTCCTCAGGTCCTTTGCCTAATCATCTGAGCCTCCGTCTCCTCCTCCTCCTCCTCCTCCTCCTCCTCCTCCTCCTCCTCCTCCTCCATATCCTCTTCCCCACAACCCCTCCTCCTCCTCCTCCTCCTCCTCCTCCTCCTCCTCCTCCTCCTCCTCCTCCTCCTCCTCCTCCTCCTCCTCCCCGCTCCTCCCCGCTCCTCACTCCTCGCTCCTCGCTCCTGCGGATTCTTTGAGGGGCGAGGGCCCCTCGCTTTCAAATCTCTGAGGGGCTTGGCGCGTGCCGCCTGGGGCTCGGCGCGTGCCCCCCCCCAGGCTCCCCCGCCTACCGTCGCGCGACTTCTGCGGGCCCGAGAAGCCCCCAAGACGGGCCGAGAGAGCCTCGAGAGGCCCCCCAAGACGGTCCAAGAGGGCCACAAGCCGCCGAACAGTCGCTCCAAGACGCTCAAGATGGCCCTCAGACGGCCGAAGAGGCCTCCCAGACACCCCAAGAGGCCTCCAAGAGGCCTTCCAAGTGGGCCCCAACAGGCCACATTCATTGATTTCCAACGGATTTGAAGGATTTTGGCGTTCTCGAGACCCTAGAGCCTAGAGGCCCTCAAGACCGCCCCAAGACGGCCCAAGAGGCTTCCAAGAGGGCCCCAAGACGGCCCAAGAGGGCCCCAAGACGGCCCAAGAGGTGCCCAAAACGGCCCAACAGGGTCCCAAAACGGTCCCCAAAGGGGCCCAAGAACACGAACCGAAAATCCGAGCCTTCCTCTCCAAGAGGCCCCCAGAAGGCCCCAAGAGGCGACCAGGAGGCCCCCAAGAGGCCCCCAAGAGGCCCCCAAGAGGCCCCCAAGAGGCCCCCAAAGGCCACCAAGAGGCGCAAAAGAGGCCCCCCAAAGGCCCCGAAACTGCCCCCAAGAGGCCTCCAAACTGCCTCCAAGAGGCCCCAGAGAGGCCTCCCACAAGATCCCAACGAACATCCAATAGGCTTCATACCCACAACCCAAGCACGGTGGCGGGATGGGCCGAAGGCTACACGATGTCTTCATTTGTTCTAAACGTGGACCCGGGATGTATCGATCCATTCCCGGGACCGGTTCTTCGTCCTGAGCCGCTTCTTGTCAGCCCAGGGGACCCGCGAGGGACCCCCGCCCCCAGAGGCCTCAAACAGCCCCAAAACGGCCTGATAGTGATAAGGTGTGCATGCTTTCTTTGCCTGACTCAGCAGCGCAAGCCGTGTCTCGGCACTCCAAGACCAGGGCCAAACCTGGTGCCTGGAAACACCATGTCTGCCCACGACGTGACTCCTGCCACGACTCTGGCATATATCTGGGATGCACTCCCCCCCCTCCCCATGGCTCCTCCCTCCCCCCTCCCCCCCCTCCGTGTCGATGATCATCAGAACGTGTGTTAGCGCAAACGTGTGATTGTCCATCGAGGCCCTTCGCTACGACGCAGGCGGTGTAATGCTCTACTGGCTGGGCTAAAAGGTATAAACACACATTGGGCTAACACACGTCCTGACGATCATCGACTGTGTCCCCTGCCCCTGAACCTCGGGGCTCGGCGAGCTCGCATCGGGCAGGGGCGGCGCCCCCCCCGCCAGCGGCGGGGGCGTGTGCAGCGGGCGCGGGGCGGCGCCGCAGCGCATCGCGCGCAGCGCCCTGGCGTGCCCGTCGAGGAGCCCGGAGATCCGCGCGCAGTCCTCAGCGACCGAGGCCTGCAGCTCGGCGAAGCTCGCGCTGAGTGCCTCGAGGCCCAGGTCCTCGCGGCCACTTCTCTTCCTCCGCCTCCTCCTCCTCCCCTCCTCCTCCTCCTCCTCCTCCTCCTCCACTTTCTCCTCCTCCTCCTCCTCCTCCTCCTCCTCCTCCTCCTCCTCCTCCTCCTCCTCCCCCTCCTCCTTCTCCTCCTCCTCCTCTAGGCCCAGATCCTCGCGGTCCTCTCCGAAGGCAGCGCGGCCGTATGCCGCCGCCGCCGCGCCGAGGCCGGGGGCATCCCCCTCCAAAAGCTCCAGCAGCATGTTTTTTGGCACCCCCGCAGACGTGTCCCTCCAC